TGAAGGTATAATGCAGCTTCAACCAGAGGACAAAGTAATGGAAGATGAACTCGTTCTTCTTAATGCCTTAGCATCTTTCATCGCGGGACCTATGAGAGTAATCTAGCAGAACGTCGACTAACTACCTAATCTGCCCAGTGGACAAGAAAACTGGTGGTAAAGTATACCATATTCACCAAATCAAGCTTCATCACCCATGTCGACATTTATCCATACATTCCATGTCCCTGAAGGTTCCATCAGATATGGCACCTGAATGTTGGGAGGAAGAAAGGAAGGTTTTGGGGATAAATCGAATAAATCTGCAGATACTTCATATTTCTGAATAACTGAGAGTGGGTGATGCCCCGTATTAATGATTCAGAACCCTGAGCAAATAATACTGGCATCATCCCACCACTGCCAGATAAGTAGAAAGAATCATACTCTGTTGTCCCAGAATTATACAGTATTGGTGTGCATGACATCAACTTAAGAATAGAGAAATACGGCAATTCCTTCTCTAAACCATCCATTTCCACCCACACTTGTCCTACCTTTTTCCAAAGCTTCCAAAGAAATAGCTACAATACCTCAGATTCTAATCAAAGCCAGCCCTTCTCGATCATATATTTGTTCAATCTCTTTTTAAAGCTTTCCAAAGTCTTAGTCTCAATTACCCTACTCGGAAGACTGTTCCACGCATCGACTAAATAGTGTTTATCTTAAAGAGCGCACCCGGAAAAGAGTTATTCCAAAGTCATAAGAAATAACTTCAGTCGCAAAAGTAATTCATAGTCGCAACAAAAGACCCTTGAAATCTGAGATGATATTTAAGTAAATGGTAACCTATCAATGGTAAATTGTAGATAAGTAGCCAAAAAGTTTAAACCACTAAATCAGAAAGTCTCCACAACTCATCAGGTGCTCGTTTCTGACTCTGAAAAGCTGCAAAGTGAAACCACACGAAAGTAATGAATATTGAAACTACTGGAGAGGAAGAAATGAGAAAAGTGCACATTCGCGACAATCTGATCAGACAAGATATTGCCCTGTATATTGAATGAGGCAGTTAAGTGAAATGCTTGCCAGGATTTCAAGGACACGTTTGAGAAATCATACCCTCAGGTAATACCAATAAATTACTAACCAGTATTTCTGGGATGTGATCTGAAGTGTATACTTGTATCCTTGTCATGTATCCTTGGCATGTGTTGCTCACATGACTCTCTCACATGTATTACTAACATGTATCGTGGACATATATTTCTGATAAGAATGACGCGAATGATGAGACGGAGATAAAGAAAAAACCTGGCAAAATACTTAGTCGTGAGTTCAGGAATATTAAGTCCAGCATCTCAAACCTGGCAAGATGATGATCTATATACCTTTATACCTTACCTTTGAAGAGTTTCGAGAGTTTCACTACTCTCGGAGCCCGGCCATGGGCTAGGCTCGTCTGATGATTACCTGGTCAACCAAGTTGTTGCTGCTGGATTCCCGCTGCCCCACATATCCATCACAGCCTGGTTGCTCTGGCACCATATGAAGATACTTTTCCAGTTTCCTCTTGATGGCTACTGTGCTTGTTCCAACCGTGTTTCTGATATCTTCTGGTAAGATGTTGAATAGTCTGGGACCCCGGATGTTGATACATTGTTCCCTTATTGTCCCCACCGCACCCCTGCTCGTCACTGGGTTTATTTTGCACTTCCTCTCATATCTCTCATTCCAGTATGTTGTTATGGCAGTGTGCAGATTAGGGACCAGGCCCTCGAGTATTTTCCAGGTATATATTATCATGTATCTCTCTCTCCTCCGCTTCAATGAGTACATGTTCAAGACTTGAAGGCGTTCCCAGCAATTTAGGTGCTTTACTGGCTAAATTTGAGCCATAAACGTTCTCTGTATTTGTTCCAGCTCTGGCATTTCTCCTGCTTTGAACGGGGCCGTCAGCACTGAGCAATATTCTAAATGAGGGAGCACTAACGATTTGAAGACTGTCACCGCTGGCATTATTTCCCTTGTTTTGAAAGTTCTCAACACCCACCCCGTCATCTTCCTGGCTGTCGTGATCTTAGTCCTGTTATGGTTTTTAAAAGAAAGGTCAGCTGACATAATTATTCCCAGGTCTTTTACGTGTTCCTTTCGTTATATTTGGTGACCCTCTTGAGTTTCGTACTACAGTGTTATTTGAGTTCTTCATTCTCTCCATACCTAAGCAGCTGGAACTTATCGTCATTGAACGTCATGTTGTTCTCCACTGCCCACTGGAAAACCCTGCTTATGTACGATGCTGGTCCACCAAGTGGACCTGTAAGCACCTGTAACTTCAACACTATCAGTAACACTGCAGAACCTGCAACTTCAGCACTCTTCATTAATACTTCAGAACTTTTAACATCACTCAAACACTCGTAAATCCAACAAACACCTTTGTATCTGTTACTTAAACATCTATACCTCCCACATTAATTCATGTAACTCTAATTTCATCTTCGGTTACTCCCTGAACAATAAGTCATTTTACCCTGGCAGGAACAGTTCACAAGTAACCCGTACTTATGGAAGAAAGCTTCTGACGAGTTTTCGGTCCGTACTGGTCTACTGTGAAATCCTGGACTACTGTGAAGTTCTTAACCACTGGGAAGACCTTGACCACTGGGAAGTCCTTGACCACTGGAAGTCCTGGACCATTGTGAAGTCCTGGACCATTGTGAAGTCCTTGACCATTGTGAAGACCTGGACCATTGTGAAGACCTGGACCATTGTGAAATCCTGAACTATTGTGAAGTCCTTGTCCACTGGGAAGTCCTGGGCCACCGTAATGTAATGGACTATTATGAAGTCCTGGACCAATGGGAAGTCATGGAAAACAGGGAAGTCCTGGACTGTTGTCAAGTCCTGAACCATTGTTAAGTCCTGGACCACTGTGAAGTCATGAACCATTGGGAAGACCTGGACCATTGGGAAGTCCTAGACCATTGTGAAGCTCTGTACCATTATGAGGACTTGGACCATTATGAAGTCCTGGACCACTGTGATAACCTGGAGTAGTGTGAAGTCCTGTACCATTGTGATGTCCTGAACCATTGTGAAGCTCTGAACCATTGTGAAGTCCTGAACCATTGTGAAGTCCTGAACTATTGTGAAGTCCTGAACCATTGTGAAGTCACAGTAGGCCTAAACCAACCGAAACGCCGCCGAGAGCTCTACACTCGTGACACCAACTTCAGCAAATGTAACGACTATTTCATCATCTGTAACTCAACTGACAACATCTGCAAAATACGTATCAACAACTGCAAGTCACGCTTCAAAATCCGTAACATACATTTTAGCAACTGTATCTCACACTTCAAATCCAGTAACTGATACCCCAACATCTGTTATTCACTCTTTATCATCTGTTGCTCACATTTACCGTATGTAATTCACTCTCCAACACCTGTAACTCACCCTTCAACACCTGTGCTCACTTTTCAATACATATAAAAGTCACTAAAGAGCATTTAACTCATTCTTAAATACATTTAGATCACTTTTTAATACATGTAACACTCATTTCAGAACATGTGACTTGCATAACAAAGTAACAGTAGTTAGTGAAGCAAGAGAAGACTGGAACTGTAAGAAGACATTAGACACAGTCATGTACAAGAGACTTCGGGAAAACTGGAGGTGCAGGCAGGAATAAGAGGAAAGCACTTTAGTAGAACAAGGCATATTTAACGGGAGACGGTTTCTGAATAGGCATGTGTTATGAGAGAAGCTCCATAAGAGTCAGTACTGGGATCAGTGCTGTTTCTTGTAAATGAATATGCATGGTAGAAGAAATCGAGTCAGTAATTACCCTGTTTGCAGATGAAGTGAAAACTAGTGAGGCAAACATAAAGAGCAGACCAGCAAAGATTTCAGACAGATCTGCACAAGCTGCAGGAATGGCCTGACAAGTGGCTACAAAATGCTAGGTTATGAAAAATGGGGAAAGGCAAAGACAACCAGAACCGAGTAAAGGCTCTGGGCATCAAGATGGCGAACAACACTGAAAGAGAAGGACCTGGGGGTAATCATGGTTCTGAGTATATCGACTGAAGCGCACATCAGTAAAAACGAAGCTGTTAAATTTAGAGTAACTTACAGTAACCGCAAAAAAAATCGTAATAAGCGCAAGTCGCATGTGAATGTAAATAACTACCTACTGTTTGATCCTAAAGTTTAATATAGCCAGTGAATGGAGAGAGAAAAATTGTAAGTAAAAAAACAAAAAGCATAATATTCTATCCTAAAGTTACAGTGTAGCGTGTAAACACAACACCAAGACATTTTTAGAGTAAGGAGACTAGTTCCCGGAGCAATGAGCAGAGGCTAAAGGAGCTAAGCCTGAAACACCAGGGGTGATATGATTACGACGTACAAACTGCTAGCAGGAATTCATAGAATGGATAGGAATTGACTGTCTGAGAGACTGGTAACAGGAACACTAGAGCGCAGCTGGAAGATGAAAACACAGATGAGTTACAGAGATGTTAAATATTTCTTTAGCCTTAGAATGGTCAGGAAGTTGAGCGACCTGGACAGCGGAGGGAAAACTGCAGTTTCCGTACACAGTATTATGAACAGATATGAAAGGGCTCACGCTGTCAGAAACGAAGAAATTTAGTTGCAGCCAGCGAAGAGGGGGACCGGGAACTGGAACTTGACCTCTTCAACCACAAATACGTAGATACACGATAACATTTGGCACTCTCACTCCAGAACCTGTGAACTCAATCCTCGACAAGGCTAATTCATACATAAATACCTGTAATTCTCTTCATTACCTGCAACACAACCACTTTGGCTCTCATTTCAGCATCTAAAACCTAACATTTTTACCCATACCTGCATCAGACGTTAGTGACTCGCAATTAAATACCTGTATCAAACGTCAGTGACTCGCCATTAAATACATGAATCAAACGTCAGTGACTCGCTTTTGACCATCTGCGACATACCTTTCAACACATGTAACTTAC